AGAATGTCATCCTAAACCACTGTATTTTGTGTGTGCGCAAACCCCATTATTAATGCCGCCAACTGTTTTCATATTTCCACGAAGCATTATGTGAACTTCACCGGCGCGGATGCAAAAACCAAACAAAAAACCACAGCTCCAGTAGGTCCTAGTAGATAAGACTAGTACGTTAACCAGTCCTGAGCCAATTTCTGCTGCTTCTCTACCCAGTGCCATTAGCAGACTGCCTAGCAGCTGACCGCCAACTCTGACAAAAGCTGTTATTGTTGAAGGCACCACCAGCAATCAAACAACCCTTCCACCCCACCCTCCAGCTGAAAACTCTTACAAGACCCAGGGCCAAATTCCCCTCTTTATTACACTGGGTTAAGAGAGTGCTACCCCCCCCCCCCCCCCCCCCCTCAAGGACATATTTTTTTCTATCAGCTACTGTGGCACTTACTGAACATCTTGCAGCGGTGGTACCACCTCTACCTGTACGAGTCTAGCCTAAACAACCTTGCTTCCCAGTTGCAAATACGTTTGGTGAATACGATGGTGACTCAGCCTACTAACCATTATCATTGTCGTTATTTATTGGCGTCAGCAGACATAGGCACTCCTCCTCCTTTCTGTCTCTCGACAACTATGAGTGATTCCTTCTCAAAGTGTGGCAGATGGGTTATTAGCTGATAAATACCAGTAACACATGCCAGAGGGGTACTGCTGCCAGTAACTTGCCCTAGGGTGGTTTGGGGACACTTGGGGTGGAGGGAAATGCATGAAAAAAGTTGGCAGCAGAAACTTAGTAATAATTTATGTTTTGTTCTGTGCTCTTTTTTCACCTTCCCTCAATGTCATTTCCCCCCCTCCCATCACGCTGTGGCAGAGACACTGAATGCTTACGAGTACAACCTAAGGCACAGTGAGATAAGGCTCAAGAAGTCTCTTTCCCTAAAAATCAAGAAAACTTATTATATATAGATACTATGGGCCAGATCCACAGCTGGCATGAATCAGCGTCATTTCACTGAAGTTCAAGACAAGCAGCTCTAACCACTCAACATAAAATCCTCTCTGACAGCCACATCACTCCAATCAAACAGAAGGGGAACCACTAGACCTGTAATGAAAGTTATGTTTTATTTCTCTAAAAGGCTGTACATGTACCTGGCAGTTTACAGAACACTTGAAAAAGAGATGTTTCTTGGGCGAAGAGTTTACAGTCTAACTCAGACAAAAATAGGATACATAAAAACCCTCACTCAAGGATGGAATTGGACACATCTTGGCCTCATGGTGTTCTGGAGCCTGTAATTCAGAATAACTTTTGCTAATACCTTTCCATCAATGTTCCTGTGAATCTAATACGCAGCAAGACAGGAACAAAGATATGCATGTATAAGCAATACATAAATAAAAGTATAATCCTTTCCAAAGACATTAGCAGTGTCAACCTGACATAGCTTTGGAGAGCGCTACAATTCTTCTTGTTATCTTGAAATGGTTTGCAGGCAGTTGGGTACCTGGCCTACATTTAGGTAAGTAAGTTGTCATCATATTTAAAACCCTTCACTCTCCCTATTGAGGAAAGCCTTGATCCTTACTTACTAGAACTTGATTCTGCATAGAGTCTCCATGCTGAAAGGTCTATGCCTTAAACTAAAGAGACACTTATGTTTCTGCTTTTGCTATGTTTTCCCCCATCTTGCTATCACCCAACACCAGGGCTACACTTGTACAATATCCAAATACACACTACCCTTTCTTTGGGTTTTTAGCCTCTTTTCCACAAGCTTTCCCAAGTACCTGCCTGTAGGATGCTGTCTCTGTTGTCAGGACTAAAATAACCACTACAGGAACAAAAGATACCTAAGACACTGCACAATTTCAAGTATAACAAAAAAAGATGTTCAGCGAGATTAAATTGGCCTGATAGTTTCATAAATGAGATCTCAGCTGCTATAAATTGTCTTGGCTCCATTATTTCTTCATTAACACAGGTACAGTGACCTGTGCAAAAAGGGCAAGTGCTGTGGCATTGTTCTTTCCACGTTTTGAAAAGCAATTGTGTACTATTTAAATTGCCTCCCGTTAATGGCATCTTTTTCAATGAGAATGCTATGAAATTCTGGCCATATCTCTTCTACATTCCAGACTAGCAATCAATTAGTATCTGAAGAGCCATCTTTAGATTTATTATGAGAACCAGTGCATGCTGGGATGGGACACTTCTGGAGTTTATTTTGTGCAGATTATTAGCTACGAAAGAAGGATGTATGAAATCAACCTGCCTGTTCTTTACTTTAATGCCAAAGGCAGATTCTGGCCTTCATTCCAGTCCCTATAAACTACTCCAGTGACAGGATCTGCCAGGGCGAGGAAGAATTGCCATGGACAGGAGCAGTGTAGGGCCAGTATAAGCCGCCGTATGCTGCCCTTACCCCTGGCACAGTCTATGGGAATTCTGGGTTGTGAGCAGCCCACTGGCAGCCCTGGGGAGACTGTCAGAAATTAGAGCTTATGCCGAGAGCCGTTTCAGCTGCAGTTTCTGCAGCAACCCAAAATCCAGAGGGCGCATCTCCCCACCTGCTGGCTTGGGCTTTCTGTGCTGCATCTCTCAGGAGCTGTAGCACAGAATCTTCCCCACAGCATATTAATGAAAGAATCCTAGAACCTGGGACACAGAAAATGATGGGATCAAAACAAAGCTCCAACTCCGTTAGGGCTAGATTGTGCCAGGGAAGCACAGGTGCATCTTGAGAGGTGTGGAGTTGCACTGCCCCACAGGAAGCTCCAGCAGGAACAAAGACAAAAGGAGACAGGACTGGATGGTGCAGAGGGTGTCAGGGGCCATTGCTTCACTTCATGTGGCGGCTCAGAGGGAGGAGTCAGGGAATGCAGAGAGAGATTTTGTCTTTTCCTTGTGCATCAGTTTAATAAATCCCTTAATACTTAGATGAGCCAAATTTGTGCCTTGATGCCACCTATGAACTTGAAGGAATGGGAATGGTTCAGAAAAAATAATATGCAAAGGGGGATTGCTCCTTTTGTTCAATAAATGGCTGGGTTTGTGTCTGTTCTTCAATATAGTTCTGCAATGTTGAGTCTGGTGTTGTGCCAAGTAGGCTTTTCTCTCTCTCGCTCTCTCTATATATATATTGAATGGCTCTTATGTTATTAAAGTGTTTTCACTCTTTATTGTCAACTACCATACTTGCATTTTTCTAATGCTGGGGCTGTTTGCCATTTTTAATCTTTAATTCTCTTGGTAGTTTGAGAAGTAGGGCATGGATTACTTGTAGGAGAGCATTATTTCAGTCACAAGTGAGCAGACAAAACTTGCAAGATATAAAATACTCCACAATCCTATAGTCCATCAACTGAAGACCCAATTTATGCTGTATCGAGACGATAGCCAAAACACAACCCATCAGCTTTCGGCAAAACCAAGCTTGCCTTTGCTGTCTCTGTTCTATAGACCTCTGAATAACTATTCTTTGTTAATTACTACAACAGTGTATTAATTTTAACTTCACAAAGAGATGTCCAGTGTTCTGACTTGGGTCGTCAGCTGGAGTAAATGGGCATAACTCCACTGCTGTAAATGCCACTATGACTATTTTTACTAGCTGAAGATCAGGCTCTCTGTTTTTACTGTTTCTTTTTAAAGGATTTAGAATACACGGGTTTCTAACCTTCCTGAGCAAAGACAAAACAGATTAGGACTAGGAAAGTAATATATATGGAGATATACCTATCTCCTAGAACTGGAAGGGACCCTGAAAGGTCATCAAGTCCAGCCCCCTGCCTTCACTAGGCAGGACCAAGTACTGATTTTGCCCCAGACCCCTAAGTGGCCCCCTCAAGGATTGAACTCACAACCCTGGGTTTAGCAGGCCAATGCTCCCCCCACTGAGCTATCCCTCCCCCAAGTAGCTCAACCTTGCTTTGGATCATTCTATGTTCCTGCTTTTCCCAACATGCCCAAGTGCCCTTCTTCAGGCATCTCAAACTCCTCTATACTCTGGGTCCTGTTCCTCCATTGCCAGGCACCTCGTGCCGTCATTTACATCTGCACAAAGCAAGGGCAACGGGGGTGCAAAATGCTACCGAAACAGAATGGTAGCACTTTGCACCTGCTCGGTACAGGAGCACATGGCTGTTCATTCAGTCCAAGTCCCCTTCCACTTCCTAAAGTTTAATATTCTGTCCCTTGGACTTTGATCCCATTTGCGAGTGGGAATAAGGCCTCTCTCTGCTCATAATCTAAATTGAACTGATAGTCATGTAGGGTGGCAGCACTAGAAATCTAATGTCTCTACTTATCCACAGAACATGTGCAGCATAGGATGTATACTCATAATCCTAAAAACTGGCCTCCTCAAAGTTTCTTCTTTTCCAAGAAGGAGAATAAGTACAGCTCATTTAATTAGCCTCGTTATTTTAAACTCTTGAGATCAGGTAACATCAGTTGTCCTTGCTCTGCCTTCTCCAAATCATCAAAATCCTTTCTGTGGTATGACTGGTCTCTACTGCTGGACAGGGCACTCCAGATCGGTCAAACAAGTGTCATAGGCAGTAACAGTACCCTCTCTTTTGTATCGTATCCCTTGTTAATAAAGGTGTCTCATGTTTTCTTCCTGCAGATCTGTGAACTAAGTCGCTGCTAGGCTGAAGGAGGGAAGATAAGTGTTCAGACTGCAGTGGGTGTGACACCTCCCACCAGCAAGATATCAAAGGCCTTTCAAAAAAAATAAAATGGAGGGGGCAGAGAGGCAGGAATGAACCAATGTAGAACAAAATATGCCAGAAGCCATGAGGAGTTTTCTGCTGCCTCCTTTCACATATTTCCCCTTCCTGTGAAACCATGAGCACAAATGTGATGGGAGTTAGTCCCATTACCTAGGCACTACATGTCCTAATGGAAGGCACTCAGGCTCAGACGTACGGTGATGAGCGCAGTATATTGAACAGAACAGGGCTGTGGGACTCCCAGTTAATAAGTGAAAAGGTCTTACCTGCTTAAGCAGAGGGGAGAGCTTCAAGGCTGCTGTGTCCTGTGGTTAAAGAACCAGGAAGGCTCTCTGGCTCCTGGGAAGAAATATAAACCGATATATTCCATTTAGTCTCAGATGACATCACAGGGCGTCTGATACGATATATACTTAATAATGTCCCTGCCCAGGCCATTTCCCCATCACTGTTTTCCAAAGATTGGTAATTTAAGATACAATAACCCAGATCCTCTGCTGTGCCCAGCCTCCTCTGAATGCAGCAGGTGGGGGTAGCACCAAGGAGCTGTTTGCAGACTGGCCCTGGTAGAGACGTCTAGGAGCTGTTCTAAAGGAAGCCAGTTGGTAATGTCCCCAAAAAGACATCTGTCAAATGGGGACGGCTGCAGCACAGCATGCTCCAGCCATGCCCCTACACTGGGGAGCCTATGAACTGTCTATCCTGTCTGAGGATTTTCCCATCTCGGGAGAATCTTGAGCAGTGGAGATACAGCCATTTATGGAGAAAAAAAAAAAAAAAGAGTGGCAGAGGACAACATCCTGGCCTGATATTTTGCAATCTCTCAGAAGCCGAAGGATCATTCTCCCAACTATCCCTTTACTCTCCTCCACTCACAAAATCCTCACGTTGCACTAACTAGCCTGCTGGCTGAGAAGGGCCGGGGAGAGTTCCCATTGGGGTCCAGCCGTGCTGCTGCTTAGTTAGACCTCTTGAGAAAATGATCTGAGATGTATCCTCACCCCTACAGGAGGCTGAGCACGGTGCTGTTTCCTCAGCAGAGCACAGAAGGAAATGATCAGGCTGAGGTCTCAGATTCAGATAACTCCTATCGGTCTGGGTTGTCCTACTAGAAGACCACCCGGGACTGGTCGCAGACCTGTTGTACTTTAACTTTAGTATGTCACTCATTACATTGGCCAGGTACATAGTTAAACCTGAAGTGTAAAACAGCTGAATGGGTTTGCTACTCCTGAAGGTCCTGTTGATGCAGTGGATGCTTGCCGCGATTCCTGTTATTTTTTAATACTAGAAGTGAGGATGAAAACATCACCCCCCACCCTTAACCACTGCCACCAGCTCTCCCATTCGTTTCAGGTTCCACATCCACAGCTGCCATTGTTGTTTCTTAATTCCTCCATGGACTTGACTTACTCATCCTCCGGGACTCTTTTTCTCTCCCTCACCATCCCTTTGCCCATCTATCCCCTGCTTCTTCTGTGTCCCTTGCTACTATCTCACCACTACTGCCGTTACCGCCTTCTCTTCTGCAGCTCCTGGCATTGGGGTCAGCTTTCCTGTATTTTATGCCTATTGACATTCTGGGCCATACCTCAGCCAGTGTCCAACACTTTCCATGATAAGATCCTGTTTTCAGTTGCTTATAACTTTATCAAACTAACAATTCAGGCTAAAATCTTCCATGTCCGATGTCTGCCTCATAGCATGTGGTCACGTCTTTAAAGACTATATTGTAATATAAAAGGGGGCTGAAATAAAGCCACACAGGCAGCTTTAATTGGGGCGTTTCCTAACTTTTCAGTGCTTGACTACATCTTCAATGTACTTTTCATGTAGGTTTGTGTGTGTGGTTTTGTTTCGTGTTTTTGGCACAGGCCTGTGTCAATTACAGTTTTATACCAATTGGTCTCATTCATTTTTAGCTTTGGTCTCCAGCATTTGACAGGTTTTGTTTCTTAAATACACCTCTACCTCGATAGAACGTCGTCCTTGGGAGCCAAAAAAACGTACCGTGTTATAGGTGAAACCGTGTTATATTGAACTTGGTCTGATCCACCGGAGTGCACAGCCCCGCCACCCCAGAGCGCTGCTTTACCGCATTATATCCAAATTCGTGTTATATCGGGTGGCGTTATATCAAGGTAGCGGTGTATTATACCTTGAAGAGGATGGTTTCATAAAACATTGGCAGCAAGTTAATATCAAGAGACTTCTCTGTCCGACTGGGTAGAATCCACCATTCACCTCTGTGCAGTAATTAGTTACAGTGGAATTAGCGGAATTTGTGGAAACAAGGCTCCAGCCTGCATTGATTTTACCCATCCACTGGATGCAGAGGAATTTTATAATAAACTAATTAAATTTGCTCTGGCTCGGCAGAACAATCAATGCTGTGGAGACAGATGACCATAGTCATCACTTACAACCCTACTAGGCACGCTGATGCATGGCTGATGCAAAATAATGCTAAAAGGTCTGATCTGGGGGAGGGGGAATATATATCTATATGAATAGCTATAAACGGTAGAGCGAGATTTTAGACAAGGATATAAACTAAAGCAGGGACAGATCTGTAACCTGTCAATTGATTCACAGGATGGCATTAACAAGATGGCACTTGAACAGGCTTTTGTTTTAAATAACTAGCACTTTCAAGCTGTCCCCTAAATCCAGAGTTGGACATATGCTCTTAAATGTCCTAAACGGTATGAAGTCCTTATTATTTCTTGCCACTTGCAAATATTTATTTACTACACTGATAAACTGTCTGCATCAGAACAGTGGAAATCCTGGACTGCAAAAATATGCCAGGCTACAATTTATCACCCACCCCCCTTAAACCCACCCCGTCCTCTTGTTTTTGGACACAATGGGACAGATCCTCAGCTGGTGTACATGGTCACAGCTCCACAATAGAGCTGTGACCATGTACACCAGCTGATGATCCACCCCAAAGAGTTCATGACCTGCTCTCACAAGGAGCTTGAAAATGAAAACTTACTTTATCAAGATTTGCTCACTTACCACAATGAAATAAACCTTGCCAAAGTTTTGCTTGCAAATAATGCAATTACTTTATCTCAGTACACTGAGCAGATGATCTGTTGACACAGATTATTTTTGTGTGCCTGTAAAGCATAATGCTGAATGAGGAGTGCTGCGTAGTAGGTAGAACCCTGGACCGGTTCTCAAGAAACCTGTATTCTGTCCCTGGCTCTGCCACCACCCTGCTGTGTGGACTTTGGCAAGTCAGTTCAGCTCTGTGCCTCAGTTTCCCCATCTGTAAAATGAGGATAATGATCCTTCCTTTCTAACGCAGTGTAGTTGTTGCCTATCAGTCCTCATCCTCAAAGGAAATCTGCACACTTTCAAAAGACAAGCCTAGGAATTTAAATTCATTACTACGCTAGATACTAAAAATCACGGACTAAACAGAGACACTGGATTTATGGCTTATTACAACAATCAGTAACCCACTAACCCCCTTTTTGTCCTATGACTGCAGAGGGGTTAATGGGCCACTCTACCTTGAATGGTCCCTTTACAATATGTGCTAACGGCTTATGCTAAACCATCTGTTCCACCTTGCATGTAGCTGTGACAGTCAGAGTACCTTCCCCAGACCTGAAGAAGAGCTCTGTGTGGGTTGAAAGCTTGACTCTCTCATCATCAGCAGCTGGTCCAATAAAAGATACAACCTCACTCATCTTGTCTCTCTAATTTCCTTTCTATGGCACTTTGAGATCCACTGATGTGCTCATTCAATAAAAAAGAGCATCTATCCTTTGCTACAGATACTGAACACATCATTACATTTGTTTTTAATTTGGACTACTGTAACACCCCTTTCAACAAACAACGAACAGGCATAGTTACCTAGTACCCAAACACATAATGCAGCTTACACAGTCTGTTTATTCTTATCTGCCCACTACTCCCCTTACACCCCTTGGAAACATGGTGTGTTGTCATTAGTCACGAGTCTATTTGTCTAATTTAGGCCCTCATCCTGCAAGCTGCTCCATACAGCTGGATCTCTGCACTCTTGCAGAGCTCCATTAACTTCACAGAGCTGCTTGCAGTACCGGAAGTTAGGACTGTAAATTCCTCTGGGCCGGGACCTTGTCTTTGTATATACTCCACCTGCAGAGTGATATACAAATAAGTAACAATAAAAGCATGAAATCACTACCACTTATTTTATAGCTTTTTATCCAACAATACTTTATAAAGTGGGGCTACAAATGGGCTCTGATCCATTAACACAGAAGCTTTCATCATATTTTCCCCAGAGTATAGACTATGGCAGTAGAGCAGTTGTTTTTCCTCACAGTAGCAGAGAGCTTAGACCCAGGTGAAAAACTTCATTTTCAAACAGAATGTAAGAACCTTCCTATACCTGCAGGGCGTCACTTAGGATACACTGGTATTTTTAATTAATTTGCCAAGTGCACTAAAACGAAGGTCAAACACGTCTGAATTTCAGCCGGTGCTGATGAGAGCTCCAGCAAAAGATTTAGACCTGGAGTCCAGATAATGATGGTATAAATCTAGGTTCAAATGAAATCGAGAGAGTTACACAGATTTACACCAGCTGAGGAGCTGGCCCTAAATTTTGGAAAGGTTTGCAGTGGGACCTTTGGTTCTACTTCTGAACCAAAGATCAATGCCAAGCGCCCTCCAGACTGAGAAAGAGTCAGATCTACAAGGAAACTATTGTCACCCATTTGCTATGCAAATCTACTCTACTGGCTTATGAAGGGTGTATAATTCAGTGCACTTTTCCTCGCTACCAACATTTCTGCCACTGAGAGCTGGATTGTTAACACTGTTGGAAAATACTCACTCTTCAGACAATTTATTCAAGCACTAACGCTCCGAAAACAAGCAGCGCAACACTTGCCAATATAAATCTATTTATTCTAAAAGCTATTAAATTACTTCTGTGTTACGAATGACTGGATTACTCAAACACTTTTTCATTCCCAGTGGTGAAGCAGCACCACTTGTCCAATGACAGGAAAAGGATACAGTCTAAAAATCCCCTTTACCCTAAAGTGGTCCATGGAAAATTCTTCATCAGGCAAGAAACCTGAGAAAAGTTTGCTGGTGTGAAAAGACATCTCTGCACCACTACTATTCATCTGAACACATAGTGACTGAGAGTCCGCAAAGGAGACTGAGGCAGAGTTTGGTTGCAATGGTGTGGAAGATTCAAAGCTCTCTCGGCACCCAAGAATCCCTCAGCTGCAGTCTGAAATATGCGGCAGACAGTGTTTAATCATTTATCAAACGCAAGCTTAGTACCATCAGCGACACTGGCATCAGGGGGAATGTTT